AATTTTAATGATCTTAATAAAACTAATAATTTTTATACCCATACTCTTACTTTACACCATATCTTTATTGATGAGAAGAGAAAAGAGGGAAAGGAAGGAAAGAAAAATTATATCTTTTTATTTCTTTTTCTTTCTTTTTCTTTCTTTTTCTTTCATTCTCTTTCTCTCATTTTCTTCATTTAAATAAGTAATTAAAAATTATAAACAAAATTTTTTTCCTTTTCTTTAATTTTTTTATAATTAAATAAAACATCATTTTTTATTTATTTCATTTCGCTCAAATCCAACCAACTATAAAAAGTTGGGCACATTTAGTTGGGAGTTTATTAATTCCTTCGCGGTTCAACTTTTAATTTCTCTCTGGTATCGCGATATATTCGACGATATTTCGCGGTATCAAGCGATTGATTTGAGATTTGAGGCCAACTAGCATGAGACGCGGGGTTGGGCGCCCACTACACGCCCGACCACCTTACCTGACACACACCGAGACGCCGCGAGTCGTCCATTCAATCTCCGCTGACACGCGTCGTAATAATATTACAACCGTCCAATGACAATGCACCACTTTTGTCATCTCAAAACTCAACTCTGTCGACTGTCGTGTCCAGACAAAATGAATATAATTTTTAGCAGGGTTAAAGCCAACTATAGTTCTCATACTTTGTGAAAATGTTCATTACCATCACTCTACTAAGAAAATGTTCAATGTCATCCCTCTACTTTTCTTACACCATAATTATCATCCCTCTACTATCCTTTTTTTGGTTCAATGTCATCCTTAATTGGATGCCATCCATTTTGCTGTTAATTTTGACAATTAATTGCTAATGGTAAAATATTCAATTATTGTTTATGAATTTTTCTAAGAGCACATATTAATGATACTTTTTTGTAATAAATTTGTATAAAAAAATATAAAAGTAAACATTAATTTTAGTGTCATTGTTACGTAAATAAATTTAATTAAATAGTTGATAAATTAAATATTACTTTTTATTTTTTTAAAACTTTTAACTGATACCCTAAAGATATAATTAGAATAACTCTTAAGACACAAATTAGAATAACACTTTATGTATTAATTTTTTATCCACCTAGTGAGACTAGTGGGAGCAATTTCTTTATTTTTTTAGTTCTGTATTATTCTTTCTGGTTTTAGCATATAAATTAACGAAATTTGTTATTTTTCTGTTAAAATTGGAATAAAATAATTATAGGATTAATCCTTAAAAATTAAAAATGTAACAATTTAATTCTAGAAGTTCAAAAATTATAAAAATTAGTAAACTAAAAAGAATTAATA